TGGACACTGGTTATTGTATACAGTATTATACGTTACTGATTGCAATATACAGTGTGTACCAAACAAAATGTTAGATGTAATTCGAGTAAATTGAATTAAATGTGTATATATAAAGCTACATTAACTCCTGAAAATAAGTACAAAATGATGGCGTGATTTAGGGTTTTGACGTCATGTCCACAACTTCTAAAACACGATTGCCATGTCATGTTATTGCTTATTTTTTGTGTTATCATGAAAAAATTATGATTAATTTATGTTAAAAAAATAATACTTTAGAATTTACAAGCCATATACTATACTATTTCTCTTAGCAATATTTACGGTTACAATAGGACACTTTTAAGAAATAATACTAGACAGTAAAAAAAATAATAGAAAAAATATTTTATAAATTAATTTATAAAAGTGTTTCCTAATATAACTTTTTTAAAAATTATTTTTAATTTATACATAAATTAATTTTAATTTATAAATATATATATATATATATTTATTTATCTTTTTAAAATTACTTTTTGAATAAATTTATCCAAAAATACTCTATATCTTTAGATGTTTTTTGTATTTCAAATAAGTAAAATTTTTTTTAAAAATACTATAAATAGGAATGATATGTATGAATATAGTTAAAACTTAAAAACGTGTATTTGGTTACATTATATATTTTCATAATATTTTAAAATTTAAAATAATTATAAATAAAATTATAATAATTTATTACATTTTCATAACAATATTCTTTTCTCATATTTCATTATGAAAAAAAGTCTAAGAAAATATGATAGGAAGACTTTCTTAGAAATCAATAATATCTTATAATATTTTTTTCAAACTCATAATAAACATGAAGATATTATTTCTTTCATCTCATAAAAAATATTGTCTTAGAAATTTTTTAATAGAACTAAAAAATATAATAGTAATTTTACAAAATTAATTTTATTATTCTTTATTAAAAATAATGTTACTTAAAATAATAAATATTATTAAGGAGTATAAATGAAAAATAAAAGTAATTGATATTTTCTGTTACTTATGAAAATTATAATAATAGTGATGGTGTTCAAACTTAAGATTCTACATATATTAGTATAACTCTCACTATTAAGCTAACTCTAATAATTTAAATAATTAATATTATATTAAAAAGTTAAATTGGCATGTATGTTGAGTTTTTTTTTTTTCTTACACTCCAAAGAAGTAAATTTTTAATATGTGAATTAAACACTCGCTAACTTATTCTCTAGATTTCCATTTTTCCATATCTATTATCTAACATAAGGTGCATCACGTTATGGTTTTAAATTGCGGACCGCAACACCTGTTGCGGCTGCAATATTGCTGTTGCGACCTTGTCCGCAACAGCATCGGACCGCAATTGCGATGATACTCGAAATCACACATTTTTCCGCAACGTAACGGTGTTGCGTCCGCAACACATCTGCAATGCACCGCAATACATTCGCAATACGATAATTGATACTATAATTTTAAAATAAATTAAATTATTTATTAAAATAATAGAATATTTAAAATAAAAAAAAGGAATTAAAATGTATAAATCCTTAAAAATAAAATATATATTGATAATTATAAATTTTTTATATTTAGTGAAAATAATTAATAATCTCACACCGCAACAGAATAATTTCACACCGCAATAGCCGCAATCCGCATCGCAATACCCGCAATACCCGCAACCGCAGTAACTGCAACCGCGACCGCAACCGTGACCGCAACCGCAATTTAAAACCATATAACTATAAACCAAAAAATATAAACCAAAAATGTTATATATAAACCAAGAAATATAATAACTTTTCTGTTTTCTATATAAAATAATTTTAAAGGTTTTTACAAAATTCTTTTTCATTTTTACTCCACAATAAGCACAAATAAATTGTAAATTTATAAATTAATTAAAAACAAAAAATATAACTAAATAATAATAATTAATATTACTTTTAAATTTAAAATGATAAATAAATAAAAATTATTCTAAAAAGAATTGACAAATAAAAAAAGTTGTTTATATTATACATATCAAAATTATATTTAACAGTTTTTTTCTCAATTTATTATTTTCTGATATATTTATTGAATATATATTATACATGTTATTAAAAATATTTCATCATTCAAATCATTCCATCACAATTGTAAAAAATTTATTTTGTGAAAATAGTAAACTTAAAATGATTTTAATATTGCATAACAAGTTTAATAAGGACAGATAAAATAAAAGTACAAACAAAACATATTGATTTGAGCTTAATTTTTATACATCATATAAAAAAAAGTTACATTTGTCAATAAATTAAAAATTTTCAATTAATATAAAGTGTTGGAGTAAAAGATTTTATACTATTAATTAATTAAAAATTAATTTTGCTATGAACTTTGAACACATACATTATTATTATTATTATTATTATTATTATTATTATTTATTTTATTTTATTTTATTCATTGGAATTATAATGGACACTGTTGGAATTTAAATTAAAGAATCTATGCATATTTCTTTAATTCTTTCACCATAAAATTGACCCTAATTATTTAATACATATATTATTTAAGTATTCTATTTTTTTTGTCTTATAATGAATATATTTTTAGTTTATTAGACTAGAAATTAATTTTTTTTTATTGTACTGCAGCTATTAAACTGATATTTTTTAATAATAAGAATAAATAAAAGAGAAATATGCATTAGAGTTAGAGAATACATTAAATTTAGACTTTAAATTTTGAATATACAAACTAAGTTTATTTTATAAAATTAAAGTTTAAGTTTGACTTATTATTGATTATATTTTATTATAGGTCTAATCTTTTTATAAAAGTTTGGCTCAACCTATTAGTATTTAAATAAATTAATAAATTTAATTTTAAATAAGTCAACAAAATTATTTTTAAATATGTATCCGATTATTTTTTAATTGTGAAATTAAAAATAGTTCACTCTATTTTTATTAAAATTTAGAGTTTAAAATAAAAATAGTTTAAAATAAAAATAAAAGTAAGAGAGATAATTCATGTACACTCATATATAATTACGCTCAGAATGTGATGAAAGAAGTTAATTTTATCTATAAAAAAATTATAAATATTCCTTATATCACATTTACAATATTTTAAATAACCAACAATGAAGTTGAAGAAAAAAAAACAAACAAAGAGTAATTATGAGTTTTTATTTTTTATTTCTTGATTTTGTATGCATAACATTAAGGAGATGTTTAATATGCATAATGTTTTTACTTTTCTAGAAATTTTAAATAAAAAATCATGGTTTTTCATGTTTGGTAGCTATTAAAAAAAATATCCTCCTCTCTCCCTTTCCCCCTATCTCCCTCCCATATCTCTATTTCTCTTTATATCCCTATTTTTTGTAACTCATTATTTTTTAATTTTATCAATTTTAATAATATTATTGAAGTCTATTTTGTTTCTATAATTTAATAGTATTTGTTAACATTTATTTATTTATTATTGAAGTGAAATGAAATAATATTTTTATCTTTCTTATTTATTACATATGTAACATTTTCCTTTTTTGTTTTTTGTTAAATTTTGTATTTAAATAATTTTAACTATAAGTTTTCAACTTTTTTAAATAGTTTAATATCATATTTGTAACAAAATTTGAGTACATAAATATATCTAATAAAATTATTTTAATAAATGATATTTTTGTAAAAAATATTTATTTATCCAAAATATACTATTGTAACTAAATATGAAAATCTTTAATTCCTAAGAATCTTGTATGAATATGTTTCTAAAAACCTTTATAAGTAATCAAATATATTCTAGTTATTCAATTTGTAATTCTTAGAAATCATCAAGTATGAAAATTATTTTTCCTACCAAACGTCTCCCATGTTTACTGAAAATGTCAAACTATTGATAAATTTATTTTTGTATTAAATTTTTTTTAAATATATTATTAATAATATAATATATATATAAACATTATTTTTTATATTATATTATATAGATAAATAAGTTAATTTACCAGATTTTACAATTTTTTTTATAAGTTTAAGTTTAATCTTTTTAAATAAATAAATTTTTTTAAAAATTTAACTCTGACATTTTAATTTATTAAATAAATCATATCATATCAAATTTTAAACAAATTAGAATATTATCTAACATTCTAATTTCTAATCATTTGTCATCATCATGGCATTTATAATGAAGGAATACAAAAAATTAATAAAATTTTCTTTAAATTAAAATATATAACAAAAAAAATTATTTGGACATAATATAATCACATGCAACATCATATTTAAATATTTTATTTCTCATTTATTCTTATATTGCGTTCATAAACATTAGAATCAAAAGGCAGCACACTTTGTTTTCTCATTTTAATTTATCTCTTGATGCAACTTTTTCATAAAAGAATTTTAATTATAGTAACGAAATGCAAAATCAATCATGGGATTAACCTCTCTCTCTTTGACTCTTCCGTAAAATTTTAAAAGGATAATATTAAAATAACAAAACAATATAGGAAAGTACTAGAAAAGCACGCAAAGGTCACTACCGGTGAAACAGGAAATCCTATCAAACTGAAAATTCGGCACCACTTTCATTTCATTTACACCGTTCATTTCTTTATTCTTTGGACATTCTCCAATTTCAATCACCCATTATTTATTTATTTATTTTTATACTATAATTAATTACATTGAGATTCTAACTTAGACTTCATCTATGCTTCTCAAACTCCTATTACTAGAGTTTTATCTTTCTATCATATCATATTATAAACCTACATTTCATTCCAATTATTTTCTTATCTTATTAGGCATCAAATATAAATCATTAAGGTGTGTACAAATCATTTTTGTAACATAGAATCTAAGTAATTGACAAAGACATGGAACAAACTAAAAACCTGCACGTACAGTGCATTGCCCCAAAATCTTTAGCTATAAATACCCTCACAAATCGTTCCAACTTCCTCACCACTTGCACCACTCCATCTTCCAACCTCTCATCACTCCCACGATCACAATCTTCAACACTTGACCAAATTCCAAAACATGGCAAACCCAACACCAAAACATAATCCTAGTCTCTTTCTTCATGTGATCTTATGTTGTTGGTTGAGTTCATCCTTGGCCATGGGAGCCACGTACAATGTGGTAAACTTTGGGGCCAAATCAGACGGCAAAACGGACTCAACCAAGGCGTTTCTTAATGCATGGTACAAAGCTTGTGCTTCGACCAACCCTGCCTCAATTTACGTGCCACAAGGGAGGTTCTTGCTTAAAAGTGTCACCTTCAAGGGGACATGTGCCAACAAGGCTATTACCATAAACATTGATGGAACTTTGGTGGCTCCTTCTGATTATAGGGTCACCGGAAACACGGGTAACTGGTTGCAATTCGAGCATGTCAATGGGGTTTCGATTCATGGTGGGGTGCTTGATGGCCAAGGCACCGCATTGTGGAGTTGCAAAAACTCCGGCAAAAGTAACTGTCCCACTGGAGCCACGGTACGTTTCACCTTCATACATAAAATATTTCACGGTGTGGTTGACACAATCACTTGCTCCCATTTTTTTTTTTTTTTTTTTTTTTTTTGTTTTTTTTGGGGGGGGGGGGTGTTGACAGCTAAAATTATGACTTCTTTTTTTAGCAAGAATTTTTGCTTCTAAGAACTCAAGTCCCACAGACTAGAGATAATGGAAAACGTGAATAAATTAGTGAGAGTTTGTTTAGTGGGGAGATTCATGGAACGGTTTGCAACTGCATGCTCAATGTGGTTGCTGGAAGTTGAAACAAATTTCAAGGGAGGAGTTAGTCATATTAATATGCTAATAACAATAGTAGGTTATGGTTAGTTTTATATAAAAATTGCTGCTGTGGACCTGGACTTGTTAATAATGTGCTGAAGAATCATATCACTTTAGAAGAAAGTGCCTTTCACCTTCAATATAATACACAAAAGGATATGTATATATGCCGAATAATAATAATATAAAGGACGTACCTTGTAGTGCAATTAGAAACCCAAAGGTTCATATTATTATATTTGAATCATTGTCAACTAAATCACAAGTCATTAGAAACTTATTAATTTCTATAACTCAAAAAAAGGGGTGCTAATTAAATTGACATTATTATAGAATTTGAAGTGACGGTGGTTTAATTTTGTCTTGATTTTGTATTGTGGTGTGTGTTCTTCAGACACTGGCGATGAGCAACTCAAACAACATTGCGATTAGTGGGTTGACCTCAATGAACAGTCAACTGTTCCACATAGTGTTGAATGGATGCCAGAACGTGAAGGTGCAAGGTGTGAAGGTCATGGCCGATGGAAACAGCCCCAACACTGACGGCATCCATGTTCAAATGTCTTCTCACGTCACAATTCTCAACTCCAAAATTCGAACCGGCGATGATTGCATCTCCATCGGCCCCGGAACCAATAACTTGTGGATCCAAAACATTGCATGTGGACCAGGCCATGGAATAAGGTTTTTATTAAATTAATTAACAACGTTCTTTTGTTTCATATGTTACTACTATACCCACGTAGCATATTATAATGTTTTTTTTTTGTTGGATTGTGCATGCAGCATTGGAAGCTTGGGAAAGGATTTGAAAGAAGCTGGTGTACAAAATGTGACGGTTAAAACGGTTACCTTCACGGGGACTCAAAACGGTGTTAGAATAAAGACGTGGGGGAGACCCAGCACCGGATTCGTGAGGAACGTGCTTTTCCAAGACGCAATAATGGTCAACGTCCAAAACCCCGTTATCATTGACCAAAATTACTGCCCAGATAACAAGGGCTGCCCCGGTCAGGTATGTTAACTTAATTGCACATTTAAGATATCATATAATTCATATGGGCTTTAATGGGCCTACGATCTCACATGGGCTTTGTTGCTTTAACAGGCTTCTGGAGTGAAAGTGAGTGATGTGACATACCAAGACATTCATGGAACATCTGCGACGCAAGTGGCTGTGAAATTTGATTGCAGTTCCAAGTTTCCATGCAGCAGGATAAGAATGGAGGACGTGAAGCTAACTTACAAGAACCAACCTGCTATATCTTCATGCAACCATGCTGTTGGAGCCACGCTAGGTTCAGTTCAACCCCAGAGTTGCCTCTAGACCCAAAAAATAATATATATATATATTGGACCATTATTTTTTGTTAAGAAAAATTATACGAAATCAATGTGATTGTGCCTAGAGCCCTAGACTAGACTCATAGAACAAGATAGGTATACAGTGTATCACTATGTTGTAGTTTCGGCCCATTGGGCTTACCATCTATACGGGCCTTATAAGCTCCGATTTTCCATTACTACATATTGTATTTCTTCTATATGTTTGATATTTCTAGTAAAGAAAAAAAGGTCACTGAGTATTGTTAATATATGTGATTTTTATACTACTTTTGTTTGTTTTCCTTTTCATGAGTTTATAAATTTATGTTTCATGAGTTTATAAGGAAAAAGGATAACGGTGCTTCAATGAGGACCGTACACTTTACATCATCTAATTGAAATTTTAAGTAGTGGTGGAGCCATTTGGGCTGTTAAGTGATCCTCTTTGACATTTCATTTGGGCTATTAAGTAATCATGGGCCACTAACCATACTTGGGCCGCTATCAACAAGTATTAAGGGTTTCTTCCTCCACTCGTCATTTTACCTCATACACTACTTGTAAGTTGTAACTTTAGAAAATTTCTTAAAATATTCTTACTTCGATATCACTTTCTGAAATACCCAATTCAGAATGTTAAAAAGTGTGTTTCAGAACACTCAATCCAAAATATTAAATATGTTCCGGAACATCATTCTAAAATGCTAAAAATACATTCACCCCAAAACAAATAAAAGTGTTTCAAAATATTCATTTTAGAATGTTAAAATTATGTTTCGAACACTTATCTCAAAATATAAAAAAAATATATATTATGGGATGGTCTCTCATTTTAGTTGCCCAATATCATGCCACAATTCTTATTATAACTCTAGGTTAAAGCCCAAAATTTTGTTAGCAAAATTAATCCAGAAACATTGAATCCCAATTTTACAACTAGCATCGTGGAGCCTTTGTAATTGTACATGACTTATCAGCGATAATTGGACTTGTGATCTTTATAGGTTGACTCGGTTAAATATCCAAGCAGTGAGTAAAAATGATTAGCACTTAGCTTTTGATTGCTTATTGGTGCTTCTGGTTTGAGTTGGTGCGACTGATTCAGGTTCATTAGTGGCTCGTTTCTAGCTTATTTACATCAGCTATTCCAAATTAAAATATTTTATTTCAATATAATGGTTTGAAAAAGTTACTTATCTTGACCGTTAGATTGAAAGAAAACAAAAGTGAGAATGAAGAGTAATTATTTTAAAATTACGTTTTGAAATGACTTTTTCTCTTCTCATATGTCATTATGATTATAATAATTAGCTGCATGATCATGAATACAGCAACTGAATGAGGGGAAAGGATTAATTGTACATACGGGCTTTAATTGTTTGTTTTTTTAAAATTCACAATCTTGAGTTTAATTAAATATCTTTTTATTTTTATAAATTTGTTTAATTTTTTTTAGTCTTTTAAATTTAAAAGTGATTATTTTAATTCTCAAATTTGGAAATAGTCTACTTTTTTCTTTAAAGTTAATTTTTATTTTTTTCATTTTAGTCCCCTAATGAGTATAAAAATGAGCATTGAGCTAATCCTAAATTAAGAGACGAAAATGATTGATTTTAAATTTAGGAGGTGAAAAACATTAGGCTCAAAATAATTAAACCTTTTATATATTTGATTTCAGAACATTTATATAACATGATGAAATTAATTCTTTCAATAAATTTGAAGACATTAATTACTTTTAATTAAGTAGAATAAAAAATGTATCACTGGAACTAACCACCCGTCAATTGCTTAATACAAACTACTCTATTTTTATGCTTTCATTATTTCTTTTTTAAATACCTGAAAACAGCAAACAAAATAAGATAAATTAAAAAAAAATCATAACAATAGCATAATATTTTCTTAACTTGTCAGGGTCAGTTATAAGTCAAAGAAAGAGCAAAGAGAAAACAAGTAGTAAAAAAATTAGGACTACTTTTAATGTGGTTGAGTAAAGTGGTGAGAAAGAAGAGTTATAAAACTGAAATGGGAAAATGGAGAAAAAAGAAGCAGCTTCTGCCGACTCACACTTGGTAGTGTTGTGTATGAGAATGAGCTCCATTATTTCTGCATAACATAATGAACTCAAAATCCACTACGAACCAATATATCACATGGAATCCTTGGGGGACCAGGTTGAGAGATGATGAATAAAACCGAATGCGTGGCTTATAATTGTTTGAGGATATGTAAAGCCATGTCTTCACTGTTTCTCCTTTAGTGACAAAAAACATGATAATCTTGTTGGCCATGCTTTGTTTTGTTCTATGAAGGTAAGTAAAGCAATATAAGCTTCATGGGGACCCTCATCTTGGATAATCCAGTGAGGATGCATCATGCATGCCACTTTATTTTCTATTTTATTTTTACAAAATACAAATTATTTAATGAAAGTAATCTTGTTTGAATAGATAAAACTACTATAAATAACAAAACATTTTCTCTAAATACCTAGTACAATTATATATTTAATGTTCCAATCACTATAACAAAATTTGTTATTAACGACAATTATTTAATAGTAATAATTTATTATCGCCATATATAAAAATATTAATTGCTAATATATAATAGCCACTAAAAATATATTTATATTACACTAAAATTTACTATTAACGATAATTATTTATTAGAAAAAACTTGAGTCCCATATCGATTAGAGATAAAATAATTAAATAGTATATAAATGAGTAATAACTATCACCTTACAGGTTTAAGGTTGACTCCTAATTCACTATTCTAAATTGGTATCAAATCACCCATTATTACCAAATTCAATAGTGTTATAAAATAATTAGAGAGCACTAAAAATGTATTTATATTATACTAAAGTTTACTATTAACAACAATTATTTATTAACAAAAACTTGAATCCCATATCGATTAGAGATAAGATAATTAAATAGTATATAAGTGAGTAATAACTATCACCTTACAGGTTCATTTTATAGGGTTGACTCCTAATTCACTATTCTAAATTGGTATCTGTACCGTCACGGCGAAATCCCGATAGGATATCTTCCGTTACGATAGTTCAGTCGCCACCTCGGCGGGTCCGTAGCTGGACCAACACGAAGTATGGCGTTATCGGTTTTGATCCGACACCCCTCCCTTCTCCAGAGTTCCCTCGGCCTACGACCGATAGGTGGCGTCCCAACCGTTTCCTTGAGGACTGATACCCCACTCGGCCAACGCCCGATTGGACCTCTCGGGATGGGCCAGGCCGATTACGAGCCAATTTAGCTTTTAAGTGTTTAAAATAATACGTTTAAAATAAGGACGGTTAAGGAGAATCCCGACAATTTCGGGGCCCATGAGGCCCGTAAACAAGAAACTATAAAGCCAAAAACCCTAGAGGGGAGAAGGCAGATTACACTCTTGAATGCTCTGGCTCTAAGGCACGATCTAGGAAAAAACCCTAGTCCACCCTTTGGCCGGAACATTTTGGCGCCCACCGTGGGGCTACGGTGAAACTTTTCCTACGCCCCAAGTCATACAGAAAGACCTACACTTTACCATGGCGAGAGGCGGCAACAACAACAACTCTCAACCCCCTACCATGGAGGAGATGATGGCCACGATCAATGGCCTGCGGGAGGATAATGCACGCTCCAGGGAGAGAGAGGAGGCCATTCAGCGCGAGAACGAGGAGATCAGGAGGCGAGCGGATGAGTTACAGGCCAGAATAGAGGCCAACACCAGAACGATGGAGGAGGATGTCATGCTGGAAGTCCCGAGGGATTTTCGGCCTTTCTCGGAAGCCATAGAGGCCGAGGTCATCCCTAGGGATCATCGAATACCGCAGATCGAACCCTTCGACGGAACGCAGGATCCAGTCAACACCTAACGGATTTCCGAGCTCAGATGTTGATTTGCGGGGGAAGTATGGAGGTCCGCTGCAAGCTATTCATGGGAACACTCAAGAAGGCGGCGCTGGATTGGTTCAGTGGCCTCCCTGACCAATCCATCACCGACTTCGATGTTTTCAGTCGGATGTTTATGGCACAATTCGCTGCTAACAAAAAGAAGCCGCCGATCACGTCGGATTTGTTCGACCTCAAGCAACAACGTGAGGAGTCTCTGAAAGATTTCCTACAACGATTTAACGAGGTCGCCTTGAGGATAACATCGCTGGATGAGAGGATGGCGGTCATCGCTTTCCAGAAAGGTTTGAGGTCCGGAGCCTTCGACATTGCGCTCGAAAGGGCGAATTGTCAAACGATGTCGGAGGTGAGGGCTTTCGCCTTGAGCCACATCAAGACGGAAGAGAACCAGAATATTAAGAGGGCAGCTGAGAACCGAGAAACAGGGGGTAGCAATAAGGAAGGAAACAAGCATCTTCGACCGCGATCAGACTGGAGTAAACGACGTGACCGATACAACGTGAAGGAGGGCAACTACAGGCAGGCCGATCACGGTGGTCGGTCAAGGGGCGAGTGGACGCGCAGCAATGAAGAAGAGAAGTTTACTCCACTCACGGTGCCCAGGCGACAGATACTCCACGATGTCAACAGCGCATCGTTGTTTGAGTTCCCGGCGACGACAGAGCGTCAGTTGGGCCCTTTCAAAACCGATTAGTGTGAGTTCCATAGGACTCACGGGCACTCAACTGAAAATTGTTTCATTTTGGGAAGACAGATCGAGCGCTTGATCAAGGAGGGACGACTGAAGGAGTTTGTGGCGAGAAAGCAGGAGGGAAGCTCGTCAGATAGGCGACCCAGGCACACGCGAGATGACACCAGGAGGGATAGGCATAGAGAGAGAACTCCTCCCAAAGACGCGCCAGCAAAGGTGTCGGAAGCCCATCAACAACCCATTCATGGGGATTTCAACACCGTCGCAGGGGACTTCGCGGGCGGGGGGGCTACCTCTGCTGCCCGAAAAAGATACACTCGGTCGGTACTTACAGTATCGGAATTCAGGCGACCTACTCAACCTGAGATTTCATTCTCGGACTCAGACTACGAAGGAGTAGCCCCCCATGGGGACGACCCCGTTGTCATATCAGCAATCGTCATGGGGTACAATGTGAAGCGTGTACTGATCGACCAAGGAAGTTCCGCTGACATTTTATTCTGGGAAACTTTTGAGGGCATGAAGATACCTAACGATCGACTAATTCCTTATGCAGGAACTCTAGTGGGTTTTGCAGGAGACCAGGTCATCGCAAGGGGATATGTCGACCTGGAAACGACTTTCGGCCAGGGTGCTCAGATGAAGACGGTGGTTGTTCGGTATTTGGTAG